CTGAAGACTTGTCACTAATGAAACTAATGTTATTGTTGGCTCTCTTATTACATTATTTTAAGTTTTTGCTTTAAAACCCCAGATATTCAAAATATGAGTTTCATATAAAGCTTGATCAGAATCATTAATTTCCCAGATTTTTTTCAAACAAGACATTCTCTAGATTAGAAAGATGGTTTATTGGACAACTTAGAAATTGGGTTAGTGGCATGATTTATTATTTTTATTTTTTTACAAAAAATACATTAAAAGGTAATTAATTGAATTCACCTCTTTTATAAGGAGTATGTTTTTAATTTCTGTATTAACATTTATTTTTGTCAGGGTGATAGACCTGTCCTGATGGGAAAAAAGGTGTATTGATTGAATGATTTTCTTGAAAAGGAAACCTTATTATATAGTAGTTGGGCATAATGTTTTATTACTTCTCAGAAATAAATACCAAAACTGTTTCACTGCTTATTAATATTTGAAAAACCCAAAAAAGGTGTGAATTGCAACCAACATGCAGAAACGTGAAAAAACAAAACAAAACATAAAACAGGAAATTATATCACAGCCACCCCTGTAGACCATCTAAAATCCCTTAAGATATCATTTGCGCTTTTTATGACAAGACAGGGTTGTTCATGTGGGGAGACTCCCCAAAAAATTAAATTAATGATATTTGTTTAAAATATTTTTTTAATCTTGAAAAATATATTTAAAAAAATTATAAAGGATGATTAAGACGATTAAGGTGTAATGACAATGTTATTACGCCACTTGACATTTTCAGAGTTGTTAAATTGAAACCATTTCTAAGTGCATTTCTCGGAACTTGGCACATGTGTTTTATTTTTGTTTTCTTCATCATTATTGATCATTTTACCCTTGTCTCCAAAATCCAAGATGGAAGAGAGGTTTCACAGGGGTCTAATGCACCCCTTTTCGGTGCTGAATACCACCTAATCTGCACTTAGTAACATTTCTAAAATGAAATGAAAAAGCCAGCAGTATTCTGAAGTATCTCATACATATTTAATCTTGAAAACTGTCTCCAGTCATTTTCAGTGCTTGAGTTTCTGCTTTGTAAAGTGTTTCAAAGTTTTCTTTGCTCACCAATCAACCCCCTCAAACCCTTCATAAGAAGTTTTCAGGCTTTCATGGATGTTTTGACATTGTGCAGAGTCTAGCTAAAGTTTAGGTAGCTGGCTTCACATCTTCAGCCACAGGATGCTTTAGAGTTTGCTCAGTTGTGTCAGGAGTGTATGCGATACATAAACAGTCAAGAAACTTGTTGTGGTTGTGCTGTTTTGTCTGCATTGATCGCCAATATCACAACATAATCCCAGCGTCCCACAGTATAACCAATAAACCTCAAACTTGAACCCTACAACTTTAACAGTGCACTACTGCTTAACCCAAGAAGGACATGTTTTTGTATTAACAATCAAAGTCCTGGAACATTATTCAGATCCGGTCTCATAGAAATCAGTGAATAAATCTGCAATTATTTTAATTGGCAAGCTATTTTATGATTAACCCCTAAAAGTCATTTACCATTTCAAAAAACAGCATGTAGTTATCAAAGCCGATAATTGAATTATCATTGACTCCTTACAATATTATCGCTTGTATTGTACATTTCCTCACTTCAGGTAAAAGTTGCTGAGCCTCTATAAGGGGACATGTTGATGGGAGAAAAATGATATTTCATTGCTTTTGCGTTTGCTCACAAAATGTTTGTGTTCCCCTGAGAAAATTAGCATTTGAACAAAAAACCTTTGTGTTTGCTCGCAAAAGTATTGTGTTCTTCCAATAAACATTGTCTTCACTCACATAAGCATCGAAATATAGACTTCAAATTGTTTCCATCACCAGTTTTGCATTTGCTTGCAAAACATAGTTTGTAGGGGAAATGCAAATGTTTTACTAGAAAATGTGAAAGTTGTGCAAGCAAATGCAAAAGTTTATGCAAGCGAATACATAAAATGTGTTAACAAATCGAATGTATCTCAAAAACAAAAAAAACTTTTGCAAGAAAACTCAAGATTTGCACGCGTATGCTGTTTCTCGGGGAACACAAACATTTTGTGAGAAAACAAAGCCTAGCAAGAAAGCTATGTAAATGCAATGTGAAAGTTTTGCAAAACCAAAAGCATTGAAAAAGCATTGAAATATAATTTTTCCTCCCACCTCATTTTTTATTTGTCCCTTTAGGGGCTCCATAAAAAGTGAATCAAATCGAATTGAATTAATGTAGTTAAACCTGTAACTATGGTGGGCTATGGTGCACAAAAACATTTTTACAGAGCAAAGACGTTTTTAAAATACAACCGAATTAAGCAACAAAACAACGAAAATGCTCCTGACCACAAGAGGGCAGTGTCAACCCAGAAAATCAAGATTTTTCAGACCATGTAAAATCAATGTTATAGATTTAAGTTTATAGATTAGTTTGTGCATTGCAATACACTGTCCTACTAGAAACATGTGGATCAGAAATGGATTTTTATATATGTAGTATTATCGTCCAATTCCATATCGACTGTTCTTTGTGGTTGGCTGCTTTTCTGCTGTGTTGTAGCTTAATTCTGTTGTGTTTTGATCTTTTTTGTTTGGTACATTGTTTTGTGTTGCAGGCCACCATATATAACAGGTCCATCCAACCTTTTTTGCTGTCTGAATGATAATTCTAAGCAGTCAGTTAATCATATTGAACCCTTGAGCTCCAGGTTCTCTAGCACAAAGCTGTATGTTCATGCTGCCGTTGAAGATGAACACTGTCTCTCATGTTCTAGGCTAGTCAAGAACCTTAAAACTCAGAAGACAGGACTGGTGCCACCCACTGTCCTGCAGTCCACAGCAGAGGGAGTAGACCTTTACAGTAACTCTGGTACCGCACACCAATCCCAGGACGAGCAGCAGAAAGGCATGACTGACATCACTTAGTCCAGACTGATGGTCGCCATAAAATTCATTCATAGCTATTCGACACATACACTGCTAGCTGCTGTACAGTATGTGGATTACATATTTTATGGCTATGCATTAGACCAGGGATAGGCAGCGTCGTCCTGTAGAGTTTATCTCCAACCCTAATCAAACACACCTGAACTCTGCAGGACAGCGGCACTTCAGGACCCACATTGCCTATCCCTGCGTTAAATAATGCACTTTGACCTCTGATGTCACTCAGTCTGTTCTCACTCAAACACATACCTTACATGTGAATGCACACAAGACACTGTCGTGACACAAAGCGGCTGTAATTTAAGATCTAGGTCAGTGGATGGCGAGACTGACGGAGGCACCTGTTTTTAAAGAGGTGTGCATGACATCACCTCCACAGGCATGCACTTCATTCCATGAAATCTTGGCGTGCTCACAATGCAACTTTCGGCCTTGTTTGTCTGGTTTTCTCAAACTCTTGCTTTCCTATAATAACAAGGTGCTGCTTATTCATTTAAAGCTTTGACTAAGAGCAGAGGCGGCTCTGGACTCAACTATAAGGTATTTTGTCCTGCTTACTTCACTGACTCCAACAGATATACATACAGTAAAAATATAGTACAAACAGTAATACTGTGAAATATTATTACAAATTAAATGAGCTGTTTTCTATTTTAATATATTTTAAAATGTAATTTATTCTTGTGATGCCAAAGCTTAATTTTCAGCTGCCATTATTCCAGTCTTCAGCGTCACATGATCTTTCAGAAATTGTTCTAATAATGTTGGAAAACAGTTGAGCTGCTTAATATTTTATGTAAACCTTTTTTTTTTTCAGGTTTCTTTGATGAATAGAAATGTCAAATCTTATTTAGAAATACAACAGTAGTGCAATGTACAGTATATATGGTGATAATATTCTTACACACACACATAATTTTTTTAATGTAATATATGAATAAAAATATAAATATTCACATGATGTGATGAATATATATATATATACTGTATATATCAGATCAAAGCGCTTTGGATAAAAGCATCTGTTAAATGACTAAATGTAAATGTAATAAGAATAAAAAGTTGTTTTCTTTACAAAACACACACACAGACATTCCTGTGATTATGCCATTCATTTTTAGTATCATATTTAGGCAATGTTAGGAAAAATATATTTTATTTAAATATGTTTTTTAAATTAAATTGAAGTTTTCTTCCCAAAAAAAAAAAAGTTGCATTGCTTCCTCCTTATCATCCTATAGATTCATCCTTATTGTTGAGGCCTGCAGCTGTTTGAAGCTGAATATACTGTAGTGTTTGAATGCTTTTCATGTTGCGCTTCAAGCTTCTCCACCTGTGCTAACAAAATGCCCTCATCCCATTTAAAAAGACGTAAAGCACAGGAATCACTCTGAAGGTTTGCATCTTTGTCGTGCCTTTTCGGTTTTCTTCTTTGTATGTATCTTGTCCTTGCTGTGGTCGAGTGCTGTTGCAAGGTCTGGTTTTGTTTTGCCACCAGTTTCCTGTTGCTCTCGATGGAAAAACCGGTATATTATGTCACTCATCTTCTCATTCTCTGCTTTTTAGATATTTTCAGTGACCTCTGCACCGCTGCCCTCACCGATACAGAGGAGGCAGACGACAGCACCGGGCCGCGTCCCGCTCAGGATGGCAGATTTGCATGCTGAACGTGCCGTGATGTCTTCTTGATTTCCATATCATCATGCGTTACAGCATACTCGACAACAGCTCGATATTCTATTCTTTGTAATACTACACAGACATCTGCTCTGCTGAAGGAGTAAGTGAACTGACCGATCAGAATGGATTCCAGTCATTTCTGGCCTTCTCCAGTGCTGATGTGACGTTAACAACATTCTGTATAGTTGTGAGTCAGAAATTCAGCATGCAGCCTTCGTTCTTTCACTCTGCTGTGCCTTAGCAGCAATTGCAGGGGTATTTGAAAAGAAGTATCTGGATCTCTGTGAACACCGGACGCCGATATATGCACCAAGGATGCTATTTGAAAACACTGAGAGGAAGAGACTCTAGACCATTCTGTCCTGCTGAAACGTTCACTGAAATGCTTTTAAAGGGATAGTTCACCCCAAAAAATTAAAATGTTGTTATCATTTACTCACCCTCAAGTTGTTCCAAACCTGTATGAATTTCGTTCTTCTGTCGAACACAAAAAAAGATATTTTGACCATTGCTGGTAGGCATTTTTTCCCCCGTACTATGAAAGTCAATGGCTACCAGAAGCTGTTTTCCCTTTATTTTGGGTGAACTATCCCTTTAAATATACTTGATTGTTTTTTTTTTGTTGTTTTTTTTTATTGCTTGTTTGCTTATGAGACTGTTGGTCAGATCACAGCACTTTTGAAGATTTAATATTGTCTAATGTAATGTACAATGTTTATACTCTCTTTTATATTCAGACATACAAGTTGTATAAGCCATCTGTAAAGCTTCGTTCCTCTGCTGTTTGTAGAGCTGAATATCTTTAATCCTCTTCAAATATTTGTCTCTACTTGATATATTCATCTCTATCATGGTCCGCTTGTACAAAAATAATCTCAAAAGGTAATAAAAATGTGGACTGTTCACTCTGGAGATGTTTTTAAATGTATTTCAGAAAATATGAGTGTTGTAGCATAAATATTCCAGCTGTACTGTATTATTTTACAGTATTGCTCATGGATGTTGTCAGTTTGTGATGAAAAGAATACAGAAATCAGATGTACTGTATCCTTCCGGCTTTGACGTGAAGAACTGGATGACAGATTGACAGTGAATGTAGTAATGATGCCAAATGTTTTGTCTCATAACCGCCAATATCCACTTACGATTGTGATTTAAAGATGGTGTAATTACTTTCCAATATCAACCCGAGTTTCTTTATTTGTTTGTATGTAAATTTCTAAGCACAAAGATTGATAGTGAATGCAGATGTGATTCTTGGTAGTATCATCATTTTGTTCATATATATGTGAATATTTTGCTTTTCACAGCTGATGTGAATATGTATTACATAAGTGCATTTCCAAATGCACAATGAAATACATTCATTACAAAACAATGTCTACTTTGCATATGAGACTATTAAATCTCAACCAAAAACAAGTTAGGTAGAAATGTCATGAAAATGTAATAAAAAATTTTAAATATTGTCCACGATTCAGGATATGTGAATATTTTGCTTTTCACAGCTGATGTGAATATGTATTACATAAGTGCATTTCCAAATGCACAATGAAATACATTCATTACAAAACAATGTCTACTTTGCATATGAGACTATTAAATCTCAACCAAAAACAAGTTAGATAGGTAGAAATGTCATGAAAATGTAATAAAAAAATTTAAATATTGTCCACGATTCAGGCTATTTTTGGTTGTAATTAGAAGCTCTTTATGAGAGTGTGTGACACAAAAGTGCACATCTGAAAGGAGGACAGCAAAGAGAGAGAGGGCCAGGTAAGATTTACTTGGCTTTGTTCTACAGACGGTGTCTTTCAAATTCTCAAAGACTCGTGAGGGGTGGCAGGAGAGTAAAGCAGAAGAGAAGGAAAGAGAGTGAAGAGAGCAGGACACAAAGACCCAGAGAGATGTGACAAGCATTGAAACGGAATTTTAAAACTAAAGCTGCCTTCACTTTGTCCTTCAGTTTGGCTTCAGGTGTCTAAAGATTTTGAAGACACCTGGCAGTCTATTTATCATGAGTTGTTTGATTCACACCTTATCAAATCTACCATGAAAACCATAGTTTGTTTAAAAAAAAAAAAAAATATATATATATACTAATGCTTTTACACTTGAAAATCCATTATTAAGTATAGGCCTATATTAGATTAGATCAGTGATCCTCAAATCTGGCTCGCGAGATCCACTTTCCGGCAGTTTAGCTCCAACCCTATAATCAAACAAACCTATCTGTGATTTTCTAATGATCCTGAAGACATTGATTAGCAAACGCAGGTGTGTTTGATTAGGGTAGAGCTAAACTCTGCAGGTGGATCTCGCGAGCCAGTTTTGAGGATCACTGGATTAGATTAATGACAATTTACAGTAATTGCATTTCGATGGAAACTATGCTTAACGTAACGTTTGTAAGGACGAACAATAAGTTTCATTGTATTGCGTTTACATCAGTATCTTGTGTCTTAATCATAGCGTTTAATCAAAACGTGTGTCATTCATTCACGGACAGAGCTGCCGACTCTACAGCGCGCATCGCCGTTTGAATTCAACAGCCAATCAGAGGGGTCGCCTCAGAACTTCCGCCGAGCTCGTCACTTTCAGCCAATCGGCGCTGGGCTCTCATGTTTGCTTGCTTTTTTGAATTCAGAGAGTAAGTTGAGCACAGAGCCACCTATCAGATGAGCGTATACAATGGGCTTAAAATACCAACAAAACTTATTTTCGTAACTTAATCGTTTTATTTTGCACTTTAGACAAACGTTTCGTGTCGTTGCGAGGACAGTGGCGTTTACGTGCGCAACGTTATGCTTGAGTTTTAACCAATTGTTGTGCGAGCAAAAACCGAGATTGCCTCAGCTGGTTTAGCAGCCAGTCGAACTCTCAGTGTTTCTTCATTCATCAAAACCTTACCAGCACATTTCTGGACTTATCCAACTTCTATACGGTGAGTTTTCATCATACATCTGCTTAAATCAAGCTACAAGACTCCGTTGCAAAGAATTTCTTTTGTTTAGAAGTTAGCTAATTTAGCTAGTCATTAAACTGCTGCCAATCAACTGTCACAGCATTGCTCTCTTAAAAAACCTGACAGATCTTTATAATATGTGATCCTTTATTTCATTATCTGTTAAAATGTACAATCTAATACACACACACAGACATTGAATGTTTTGTTTCTCGTTTGGTCGTTCTTGTTCTGATAATGAACTGCACCAGCTTTTCATTAATGTAATGTTGCATTCAGATTAAGTACTCATTACATTTATTCAGTTGGCAAGTTGATTTTTTTTTTTAAAGATCATAATAAGTTAACTTTGATTCATATTGGTGCAGATTTATATATATTGATTTTCTCCTCCCTTTAACCTTCATCCCCTCCTAGAAACTCAGCTGTTTGTCTCTTATTTTTGTGCCGCCCTTGTTCACTCCTTTCTCTCTGGCCTCCAGCTTTTGATATTCTGGACAGGACTGGGTCGCCACCCCTTGTCACAGCGCCATGGCTGACAGCAGCATAGTTACTTTAGGGCCAGGCCGCAGCCTGCTGGTGGACTCCTCCGTATACGACTCCCGGATGGCCGAGACCTCAAAGGAGCAATTTTTCATGGGTCTACATGCAGACGAGACAGAGGGTAAGTGAACTGCCCTCCATCTCGATCAACTTTATATCAACTGACATTTCTGAAGGGTGGACCATTTTACTGAGCACAAACATAACAAAAGAGGTTATTTTCTCCCACTCTATTTTGTCTATTTCCATAGAGATTCACCTTTGCCTGTGGTCTTTTTTTAATTTATTTTTTTAGATGTTTTGCCCAGAGTTGAGACCAGGGTGGTGTTGGTGGGGGAGGCCGGCAACATTGCAGAACTTGAGAAAGCTCTTCAGGTACCAAAGAAGAGAGTCAAGCTTTTTATATAGATTGTTTTCACTGAGGTAAGATGAAATAAAATAATAAATCAGACACTTCTAAAATATTCCAAGTTCAGTGTGAGTTTAGCTGGAGAAGAAGAGCTTCAGAATCTTCCAATCTGATAAAAAGTAATCAGTTCGCTAGTAGTTGCCCAGCTTGGTGCCTAGTGCACAAAAGATAAACCTGAAATCCTTCCGTTTGTTTGACTGAAACAAGTTTTAACTGAATTTTAAGGTTGATCTGGATTATTTCTATGTCTGCTTGCATGTTTGTGTTCCTGAAATTAAAAATTCAATTAAATCTGAAATTAAAACAGCAGTTAAAATTCTGATACATTTCTGTCCTTGACTGATTAAAGTTTACCTGAGCAACACATTTATTGCCAGTGACATGTTTACATGTACACTAGCGTTTAAAAGTTTGGGATCAGTACGATTTTCAAAATGTTTCTGGAAGAAGTCTGTTATGCACCAAGGCTGCATTTGTTTGATCAAAAAACAGTAAAAACATGATTGTGAAATATTAGATTTAATAATACTTGTGTATATATAATTGTATATTTTCTGTTTGGATATATTTAAAAATGTAATTTATTTCTGTGACGCAAAGCTGAATTTTCAGGAGCCATACTCCAGTCTTCAGAGTCACATGTTCCTTCAGAAATCATTCTAGTTCTCATTATTATTGATGTTGAACCGTTATAACTGTTAATATTTTTGTGGAAATTGTGATCATTTTTTTCTTCTTTAGAATTTAGTATTTAGTCGAATGTTCAAAAGAAAAAATTTACAAATTTTTTGTTACAATGTAAAAGTCTTGTTAAAAGTCTGTTACTTGTGATCAATTTAATGCATACTTGCTGAATAATTTTCTTCCCTCCATAAGTCTTACTGACCCCAAAATTTGACAGTAGTGTATTAATTTTAGCAGTCGCTGTAGCACCTGCTGATGGTAAATTATAATGAAAAATATTTCCTTAATATGTGCCTGTGAAAATGGAATTATTTTGCTATTTTTAATTAATTTATTTGTTTTTGTCAAGCAGTGATAAATCATTGAGTTGGGCTCCTTCTTATGATGAAATGCCACTTGTCTCAAAAAGTCTCATACTGACATTTTACTTATTTTACTTGTTCCTCTTACTATGCTTTCTATGTTTTTTATGATTATTATACAACAGTACTATATTGTAGACATAGGTCTTTGTTTCGTTTCATGCAGTAACCGAATGAGCTGTTTGAGTCCAGAACAGATGCAGAATTTGGCCAAGTGTGTCAGTAGCGTGAACAGCAACTTTGAGGACCGTGTTCTCTCTGATTCTGAACTGGATTTGATGCTGATGAACATTTTACTTCACATTCTTACACTGACATGTGGTATGTGGCGTTTGGGAGTTAACGGGCGAAAGGTTATGAACGTTCCTTCATTTGCTCTGACAGTTGTGTTTGGAGGGAGCGCAGGCCAATGATGGGACATTTAGGCTCCGAGCTTGATAAATGAGGTTAAATGTGTGTGGATTCGGAATGAAAACTTCTCATGTAGTGCTCATGGGAGGAAGGGGATGTTCCTGAAAGTCTCCTATGCTTGCCCTTGACATGATGTGAGAAGACTTCAGATGTAGCTACTTCTTTTAGTAATCTATTCTCCCTGCCCTTACGCAACTTATTACTGTAGCAGATCTTCCTCCTGGACTTTTCTTGACATTTGTTTGAAGTTCTCATCTCGGTTCTGACAGGTTGTAGAACCTCCTGCCTGGGAAATTTATCAGCTTTGGGTTGCCAGGTTGACATCAATTCTTCATTTTTACAGGCCATCACAATAATGGAAGTCCCTGTGGTAAAGATTAAAGAAGGGCAGCCGGGCACAGAGGCGTGTGAGAAATTGATAAAGTCTATAGTCAATATGGTACGTCTCGGCACCCTGAATCTTTGCATGCTTGAGAGCACCGGGGGATTTGCGGCATGGTGTTTTAAGGGGGGATTCGGTGTGGCACTGTGCTGTTTAATACCAAACTCACTCACACGGTGGTCTGGACTAAGATCTAACAATGTGATCTAACAACTTGTTCTGTGTTTGTCCAGCAGGTGGTCTTTAATCCATTGAATTAAAATTAATTAAATCAGTTATTTAATCAGCCCTTTGGTGATTAACTCCTGTTTTAGTTTTATGTTTAATTTTTTTTCTTTTAATCTTTATTTTTGCATTCAGGTAAGTCATAGAATAATAATTTCTGAAAGTGAATCCCAAATGACAAGAATAATGGAAATTTCTGCACTAACAGATCTCCCTTCAGTTCCCTTAAAAAACTTAACGGGCTGTTCACGGCGGACATATTCTTTCGCATACTCACCTAGGATGCGTTTATAAAAAAAAAAAAAAGTAAATATTACTGTATTATGACATAATACTACAATTATTGTGCTGTAATATTACTATAATTTCAAATTTGTCACATGATCTTTAATAAATCATTCTGATATGCTGATTTGCTGCTCAAGAAACATTTCTTATAAATTAAATAGATTTGCTGCTTAATTTTGTGGGAAACGGTGATAGTTTTTTTTTGTATTTTTAATATAGGCCCTAGAGTTCAAAAGAAAATATAACTCTTAAAAAAATAGGCAGAAATGAACATGTACAAGTAAATAGCCTATACTGGCCGATCCAGTTTGCATTCTGTTGTATACTTTATTGTCTATTTAACTGTCCTGTGTGAACCGCCCTTGGCACTTGTGTTTGTATCCACTAAATCTGCATTTGACAAATGACTGCTGTCTTTCTTCAGTGTGTCATCTGTCAGAACGCTTTAACATCTTTGAGATCCCTTTTACTAAAGGAGCGCTCTCTCTACATTGGAGAAATTGTGATCACAATCCAGCTAATGTGTTTACTGATATTCTCATTGTCATCTTCATTTTATTTAAGAATTTTCATCTTCATCCCTATTAGGGTATAAACACCCCCTGTATCAAGACTGACAATGTCAGAGATTTTGGTGACGGCGAGAACTGCGAGTTCGAGACCGTGTTTGTGTTGAAAGACTTCCAGGCTCCCGAATACAGCTTCCTGTACAAGAATGACAACCGTATCCTGGGGCCTCCTGCCGTGATGCACTGTGCCAGCAAGGGAGAGGTAAGACCTGAAATAAAACAACACAAGCACACACACAGAATCACAGCCATCTTGTGGGGTTTTTTTCTCCCTGAGGCGGTGAAATAGTTTGATACTGCTATGCCGTTACGGGTTGAGTAAAAGCCTGTTGAAATAAAGTTGTTCTTCCAACTGGAACGGATTCGTAAGCAGCTTTGATTGCTCCTGTAAAGTCTGAAAAATGTTGCCGGCTTATCTGAGTGTACACAGGAGTGTCTGCTTGACTCCCTCAGATATTCCAAAGTGAAATGAACACTTGGCTGACCAGCGATCGGTGCCGGGCAGAAAGATTAAGTCTAACGAACACTAGTATATAGATACAACTACAAAAATCCACCCCAGTGAGAAATGAAGGCTTGTCTTATTGTTGTTAAATCTTGTGGTGCACAGCTTAGCTGCCACTGTACATGAAAGGTCTGCATTCTGAGAAGTCTCATGTGATAAATAAATATATATGCACTACCGGTATAAACTCAAAAGTTTGTGATCAGTAAGACATGTAATGTTTTTTAAAGAAGTCTCTTATGCTCATCAAGGCTGCATTTATTTGATAAAAAATACAGGAAAAAAACAGTAATCTTGCAAAATGTTATTACAATATAAAATAATGGTTTCTATTTTAATATCCTTTATTAATATAATTTATGTCTGTGATGTAAAGCTGAATTTCCATCAGCCATTACTCCAGTATAAAGTGTCACATGATCCTTAAGAAATCATTCTAATATGCTGATTTATTATTAAAATGATCAATATTGGCAACAGTTGTGCTGCCAAATATTTTTTTGGAAACTATGATACTTTTTTCAGGATTCTTTGGTGAATAAAAAGTTAAAAACAACAGCATTTATTCCAAATCTAAATATTTTCTAACAATATAAATTTACTGACCCCAAACTTTTGAACTGTAGTGTATATTGTTAGAAAAGTTTTATATTTTAAATAAATGCTCTTCTTTTTAACATTTATTCATCAAAGAATCCTGAAAAAAAGTATCACAGGTTAGGGGTTGCACAGACTAATCGACTAGTCGACTTCAGTGCTCTGCCATGACGCTTTAAGCTTGACGTCGACTAGTCGCTGGTCCTATAGAGGGCGCAACAGGATAAGAAATCTTTGAAGGACTTCCACATTTACGCTCCGTTTCCAAACAGTTCAAATGACAAATAAATGCATAC